CTCAAACAATTCAGCTGTCCCTAGCCCCACTGAAACCAACCATTAGTGATCGTGCCACGTGAAATAGAACATGGTGAAGTACACATTCCACGATATGGCACAATATCAAAGCCAATCCTGTGACATGTACAGTACCTCATGTATGTTGCGAGGCATGATATGAGCCACATGGTAACATATGAGGCACGATATTATTGTTGTCATGTCATAACAGCACGTCTCAATGAAAAGATCTCACAAACATTTCATGTCATAAGATTCTTCATAGGTTGTTTTTCTCTGCACGATCATGTTGTTCTTTTTTTAAAGTACAGATTCACAATGTGAATTATATTGTTATTACAGCGTTATTACATTTTTACTACATGTTACTACTATATACTGTTTTTTTTCTGGGAGAGCGAGTCCCGACCAAAAAGGCTTTAGTGATATTTCAATGCAGATATTTAAACAAATGCCATTTGCTCGAGCATGCTGTATAGCACCCCCAAGAATGATCATAAGTCAGTTTCTAGTAAAACAATGGAAATTTTCATAATTATAATTGTATGAAATTGATCATGATCATGATAACATTAGATTATGATTTCTTAGGTTATACGTTTTTTTCGTGTCTACATGTTGTCTGGGACCGTGGGACCGACCGCAATGGGAGGCGCTGAAGACTGCCATTGCTATGGACCGCAATGATGTGGAGGCGCGTTACGAAGCGACGGTAACGATGCGGGATCTCTTTTTTGGAGCCAGCAACGAACGGTGAATCTATGGTTAATCTATGGTTAATCTATGGTCTATGGTTAATAATGTGGTTAATAATTGGAATAACAATATATCTGGTTGGTGGTGACTGGAACATGGCTGGATTTATCGACTTTCCATGAGAATATTGGGGATGAAATCCCATCCCAACTGACTTGAACTCCATCATTTTTCAGAGGGGTTGGGTAGGTCAACCACCAACTAGGTGGTTAATATGGGGATTTCCCAAAATGGGGGTACCCTTTCCGTAGCTGGCTGGTTTATTTCATGGAACATCCCTGGCTCCAAAATGGATGATAACTGGGGATACCCCTATGACGAAACGGAAACCTCCATATATCAATGGGAATTCCAGGATCCTAAAATGGAGGTACTGTACCATATAAGGCCATAAATTGTGGGGATATTCCCTCACATAGGCCTTATATAGGCCTTATATATGGTAGGTACCTCCAATTTAGGTTCCTGAAATGGCCACTAAATATATATGGGCTTTATCGCATTTGGCCACGTGAAATCTACTGTACATGTAACTGGATGAACACTTGACTTAAACCTGTGGATAGTTTGATACAGCTCATGTTTTTTGTTGCCATTTGGATGGTCAAACTCCTTCCAACCTTTTGTTTCTTTTTGTGGATACATTGGCAATTGAAAAAGTGGGTGAGAAAAGGATCTAAGCATTGGATTTTTTGTGGAGGTTTCTCACTAGCGGTTGATTTTATCTTCATGAGCAACCGCCTTTTTTGGCGCATGTGAAGTATTGTAAAGTAGCCTCCAGGTGCGAGTAGCTTCAGCGTTAACCTCAAGTTTAGGTGCAGAATGAGGTGGGGCCTCCCAACAAGCTCCAAGATGGAAAAGTCTGTCAGAATTCCTCGTGTCATGAGGATTTGCGGCCTGTTACACAAGTGTTGTTTGGTCCAGTTGTTTGTTGGTCAAACTTGGACACTCCAAAGTTTTTGTTCAAAGAGGATTCTCTTCAAATCGCTTGGTCTGAATGGGGGATACCCAGAAATCTCAATGATTATGGATTATCTGTTTCTCCACAGCCCCAGATTCTGCATTGAGTTCCCAACCACGACTCCCCTGTCGAGGCGCATACCACGGCACCATCCGAGGAGGAGAAACCCAGAGGTGATTTGACAGGGCTTGCCCGGACGAGAGAACCGTTTGTTGACAGGGGGTTGGTTGATAATTTCAGTGGTTACCCTCTGGTAAACTAACATAACTATGGAAAATCACCATTTTTAATGGGAAAATCCACTATAAATGGCCATTTTCAATAGCTATGTTAAATTACCAGCTATTGAAAATGGCCATTTATAATGGATTTACCCATTGATAGCATGGTGATTTTCCATAGCTCTTTGTAAACGTTTACCAGAGGGTAATTTCAGTGGTTACCATCAACATCCATCAACCATGAAAGGGCTCAGTCCAAGGACGCGACGCGCTTCTTTTTTACAAAAAGCTACTCTGGCTACTGGGTTTGTATGAAAATATGGCACCCCAAAAAATGATTCTCAACTGGTTGGTGGTTTGGAACATGGCTGGATTATGACTTTCCATTAATATTGGGAATTTCATAGTCCCAACTGACTTTAACTCCATCCTTTTTCAGAGGGGGTAGCACCAACCAGTCAATGATTCTCATCATTTTCGAACATTAATCCATATCGAAAATAGAGATTCCCATTTCAATCCCAATGATTCCAATAGGGGATACCGACACATAACCATCGATTCTCAACGAACATGGACGACATTCTGTCAACTCGTTGGAGCTGGGATCACCATACCGAAGGTAGAGATGTTCTGTGTAAACTGACATCAGAGTCATGGGGTGCATCATTTTGAACCCCAAGTCGGAAGGAGAAAACTGATTTATCTACATTGATTTGTTTAGCACCTCAGAGATGCATGCTTTATATTTAACATTATTTAACTATATATGTATATTTATTATACATATTTTATGTCCTGCCAAGTCCCTGCCTTCGGAAACATCAACGGAAACCCAACAATAGACCATCCCAGCAACCGTTCGACCAACCCTTTGGGTCATGTTTATACCATCCAAAACTGGGGATTCATGTTGTTCTTGGGCGTGGCTACCAAGTGCTGTCCATAGCTTGCTGTTCAACCAGAAAAAAGGTACGTTGAGCCTGTTTTCTTCTTTATGTGATGGTCAAAGATTCGGTATATTGATGTATATTGCCATATTGGTGGATGGAAAATGATGGAAATCCATAAATATCATTAGATATCTGGAATCCATAAATATATATCCATGAATATCCATAAATATCATCAAATATTGGAATCCATCAACATCCACTCGTCCATTTTTCAAGGATTCCCATCAAATATGATGGATGACCATATCCCATTCATCCCCTGCAACGGCAAACCATGGCACCTCCAGGTGGTGGCTATCCATTTCCAGGTGCCTGTGGCGGTGGCATTAATTGCGAACAATGTCTTAATTACTCATATCAATCTCACATCTACATAATTAATCATAATTATATAAAGACAGAGAGAGAGAGAGAGCAAGGGATGCATGCAAATAATCGATTAATTTACGATGATGCAGCCAATCAAAGTCATTGCGACGATGAAACAGCGCAGATATTTCATGATATTTCACCAGCAAGCTTGGTGTTGGGCTGCATTTGTGCTGATTGCTGGTATTTTCACCAACATGAAAGACCTCAAATGACCCCGAAGAAACGGGCATACTGTGGAAACAGTATCCTCGCTGCATCCGACAGAACCTATGCTGCTGCCAATAGTAGAATCAACAACTACCCCGGAAAACCAAGAGCTGGGAACCCCAAAGTAGACATGTCCACTCGATCATGCTCCAAACAATTTTTGGACCAAGCCTGCTGCCATAAGACGGGCGAGGTTCGACCAACTGGTAGGCAGAAAGAGACCATGATTCAAACAGACTTCAATCTCTGACTCGTGACCTCAAATATATTAAAATATTTTCCTGACAAGAGTGGTATCTACCGCAGTACTGCATGAGAACATCACCAGCAAAGCGGATACCAAGTTGGACTCGTTGGTGGCTTTGCAGCACATTGTCTCTGTAGCTGCCTCCATTTGGAGCCATCAAACTTCTAATGTGGCAAGCCCAAACCCAATGAGAAACCGACTTGTAGCGCCCCCCCTCCGAATAGTCAATTTGCACAATACCCCGAAATGATTGTAACATGTTCATAAAGACTTTTGATCTTTCGCATACACCCCAGAATTAAATAAAAGTACATATTGTCATCGGGGTTAACATTGTTTACATTGGTTTACCACATGAAATACTCAACCAGCTTCTCCGCGAAACGTCAACGTGCCGGTTTCATCGCTGGTTGTCACGATGGCTTTCAGACTTTGATGAAGCTGCGCCGCCACTCGGATTGCTTCTGCTTTTCAATAGATGTGGGGCAGTGATGGCATTAGGGATTTGGTGAATGTAGGAATGAAATGGAATTGATTGCCATCAACTGGATTCCCTTCATATTCATTTGACGGATTTGGCACTATTTTGGTGAACATGATTGGATTTCCATGAATTTTCAGAACATGTCTTATGTTTGAATCTGAGAAATATTTGTGGATTTTTTTTCGTTTATGTAGCCATTATTATTCAAAACTGCAAGCGTTTCTGGAGGATGTCGATGTCTGCAGGTATGCGTCAACACCTGACAACTCAGGGTTCCAATATGTTCCAATAGGTTCCTAGCCAGATAAATAGGTCATAAGATGGTTCATGGCGGTCAATGATACTTCTGTATAATATAGTATAATGAATTATAATGATATAATGTAATGTCATGCAATATACAGATATACAGTATCATTTTATAATATTTTATAATACATAATAATGTAATACAATAATATATTAATATATAGTATAGTATAGTAGTTCCATGATCTGTGATGATAAATGGTCATACGCAAATAGATACTGTAGATGGATCCATAGAGATAGAGAGGGAGATAGAGATGGAGATAGATCGAGATTGAGAGACCGATCCAGGTAGCAAAGCTGGAAATGCGGGGTATATAGATACCAGGGTGTCCAAAAAATCAAAAAATCGGGGTACCTAGGACGGCCAATGGGAGATTGTCTAAACCATCAATTCCGGTGGTACCTTTTCAGACAACCCCTCTCTGGCTTCGATCCACACCAGACATGCCTGGCTCAGGAAAATCGGCGAGGTCGGTGGCCAATGGAGCCTCAGTAGCCAAGGATAGCCAGGATTTGTGCCCAGAGAGACAAAATCAACTCCAGTACTCGATCGATTGACTTGCCATGTTTTGAATTAGTCAGATATGTTTATTCTGGCGAAGTACTGGTAAACCCATGATAATCCCATGTTTCGCCTTTTTGGGGATTGGGTTTGTCATGGCTTCTCCGTGCCCACTAAACAAACTAAACTGTTAGGGGATCACTGGCCAAATTTCAGGTAGAATGTGGACCGTGGATGAATTCTGTTAACCCCAGACTGGTTCCTCCGGGAGGCAATGGCAAACCTCGTTTTTAGGTGATTTGCAGAGTTGGAAGAACGAAAATTCGACATCAACCCCCTTGAAATTATCGGCAGAAACCATGCTTTCCTGCAATCTTCTCTAAGAAATAATACTAGTATCATCTACCTCATCTACCTCCAATAACAAATCAGGTTTCGTGAAAATTTAAGGGCTAACGCCCCCTGCCGCCGACCCCTGGAAAAGAACGCGAAGAAGCGGAGGACATCGTGACCGAGGACCGGATAGGGATCATTAGTCTCCTGCACAGGGAGCAGAGCCCTGAATAGGGGCCATATATATATATATATAAACTCCTGAACAGGGAGGGCCTCGCAGAGAGGCATTTATGGGGAGATCTGGGGAGTAGTGTGGCATATAGTGTATGTGTCTCTGTGTGTGTGTGTGTGTGGGTGTGTATGTGGGCGTGTGTGTGTGGGTGTGTGTGTGTGTGTGTGGGTGGGTGGGTGTGTGGGTGTGTATGTGTGTGGGTGTGTATGTGGGCGTATGCGCATGTGTGTCGGGAATGCAAAACCAGCCAATGGCAGGTGGCCAAGCCGCGTGAACCTGGCCCGTCCTAACGACGCGTTCGGAAACCCTTTGAAAAGTAGCTCTAGAAGCTGCCGGCTGCCACCTTTGCCGGGCGCATGCGAAACAGCGCAACAGCAGGGCCTGCTGGTCCCAACCGCGTGTCCCAAGGCCAGGCGCCACTGCCTAACGTTGGTTTCTGAAGCCCTTAGAAAAGTATAGCTCTGAGAGCTGCCGGCTGCCACCTTTGCCGGGCGCATGCGAAACAGCGAAACAGCAGGGCCTGCTGGTCCCAACCGCGTGTCCCAAGGCCAGGCGCCACTGCCTAACGTTGCTTTCTGAAACCCTTAGAAAAGTAGCTCTGGAAGCTGCCGGCTGCCACCTTTGCCGGGCGCATGCGAAACAGCGAAACAGCAGGGCCTGCTGGTCCCAACCGCGTGTCCCAAGGCCAGGCGCCACTGCCTAACGTTGCTTTCTGAAGCCCTTAGAAAAGTAGCTCTGGAAGCTGCCGGCTGCCACCTTTGCCGGGCGCATGCGAAACAGCGAAACAGCAGGGCCTGCTGGTCCCAACCGCGTGTCCCAAGGCCAGGCGCCAGTGCCTAACGTGGCTTTCTGAAGCCCTTAGAAAACTAGCTCTGGAAGCTGCCGGCTGCCACCTTTGCCGGGCGCATGCGAAACAGCGCAACAGCAGGGCCTGCTGGTCCCAACCGCGTGTCCCAAGGCCAGGCGCCACTGCCTAACGTTGCTTTCTGAAGCCCTTAGAAAAGTAGCTCTAAGAGCTGCCGGCTGCCACCTTTGCCGGGCGCATGCGAAACAGCGAAACAGCAGGGCCTGCTGGTCCCAACCGCGTGTCCCAAGGCCAGGCGCCACTGCCTAACGTTGCTTTCTGAAGCCCTTAGAAAAGTAGCTCTGGAAGCTGCCGGCTGCCACCTTTGCCGGGCGCATGCGAAACAGCGAAACAGCAGGGCCTGCTGGTCCCAACCGCGTGTCCCAAGGCCAGGCGCCACTGCCTAACGTTGCTTTCTGAAGCCCTTAGAAAAGTAGCTCTGGAAAGCTGCCGGCTGCCACCTTTGCCGGGCGCATGCGAAACAGCGAAACAGCAGGGCCTGCTGGTCCCAACCGCGTGTCCCAAGGCCAGGCGCCACTGCCTAACGTTGCTTTCGAAGCCCTTAGAAAAGTAGCTCTGGAAGCTGCCGGCTGCCACCCTGCCGGGCGCATGCGAAACAGCGAAACAGCAGGGCCTGCTGGTCCCAACCGCGTGTCCCAAGGCCAGGCGCCAGTGCCTAACGTTGCTTTCTGAAGCCCTTAGAAAAGTAGCTCTGGAAGCTGCCGACTGCCACCTTTGCCGGGCGCATGCGAAACAGCGAAACAGCAGGGCCCTGAGGGACGGACCGGGCCTCCGGGCAACGGCCCCCACTGCCTAACGTCACTTTCTGACCCTACAAGAAAATCTAGCTGTCTTCCAGCCGCCGCAGCTCACAAACGGCGCATCCGAAACAGCGAAACAGCAGGGCCCTGAGGGACGGACCGGGCCTCCGGGCAACGGCCCCCACTGCCTAACGTCACTTTCTGACCCTACAAGAAAATCTAGCTGTCTTCCAGCCGCCGAGGCTCACAAACGGCGCATCCGAAACAGCGAAACAGCAGGGCCCTGAGGGACGGACCGGGCCTCGGGCAACGGGGCGAAACAGCAGGGCCTGCTGGTCCCAACCGCGTGTCCCAAGGCCAGGCGCCACTGCCTAACGTTGCTTTCCGAAGCCCTTAGAAAAGTAGCTCTGGAAGCTGCCGGCTGCCACCTTTGCCGGGCGCATGCGAAACAGCGAAACAGCAGGGCCTGCTGGTCCCGCTTTGGAAGCTGCCGGCTGCCACCTTTGCCGGGCGCATGCGAAACAGCGAAACAGCAGGGCCTGCTGGTCCCAACCGCGTGTCCCAAGGCCAGGCGCCACTGCCTAACGTTGCTTTCTGAAGCCCTTAGAAAAGTAGCTCTGGAAGCTGCCGGCTGCCACCTTTGCCGGGCGCATGCGAAACAGCGAAACAGCAGGGCCTGCTGGTCCCAACCGCGTGTCCCAAGGCCAGGCGCCAGTGCCTAACGTGGCTGTCTGAAGCCCTTAGAAAACTAGCTCTGGAAGCTGCCGGCTGCCACCTTTGCCGGGCGCATGCGAAACAGCGCAACAGCAGGGCCTGCTGGTCCCAACCGCGTGTCCCAAGGCCAGGCGCCACTGCCTAACGTTGCTTTCCGAAGCCCTTAGAAAAGTAGCTCTAAGAGCTGCCGGCTGCCACCTTTGCCGGGCGCATGCGAAACAGCGAAACAGCAGGGCCTGCTGGTCCCAACCGCGTGTCCCAAGGCCAGGCGCCACTGCCTAACGTTGGTTTCTGAAGCCCTTAGAAAAGTAGCTCTGGAAGCTGCCGGCTGCCACCTTTGCCGGGCGCATGCGAAACAGCGAAACAGCAGGGCCTGCTGGTCCCAACCACGTGTCCCAAGGCCAGGCGCCAGTGCCTAACGTTGCTTTCTGAAGCCCTTAGAAAAGTATAGCTCTGGAAGCTGCCGGCTGCCACCTTTTGCCGGGCGCATGCGAAACAGCGAAACAGCAGGGCCTGCTGGGTCCCCCAACCGCGTGTTCCCAGGCCAGGCGCCACTGCCTAACGTTGCTTTCCTAAGCCCTTAGAAAAAGTAGCTCTGGAAGCTGCTGGCTGCCACCTTTGCCGGGCGCATGCGAACACAGCGAAACAGCAGGGCCTGCTGGTCCCAACCGCGTGTCCCAAGGCCAGGCGCCAGTGCCTAACGTTGCTTTCTGAAGCCCTTAGAAAGTAGCTCTGGAAGCTACTGCCACCTTTGCCGGGCGCATGCGAACAGCGAACAGCATTGCCTGCTGTCCCAACCCGTGTCCCAAGGCCCGCCACTGCCTAACGTTGCTTTCTGAAGCCCTTAGAAAACTAGCTCTGGAAGCTGCCGGCTGCCACTTTTGCCGGGCGCATGCGAAACAGCGAAACAGCAGGGCCCTGAGGGACGGACCGGGCCTCCGGGCAACGGCCCCCACTGCCTAACGTCACTTTCTGACCCTACAAGAAAATCTAGCTGTCTTCCAGCCGCCGAGGCTCACAAACGGCGCGTCCGAAACAGCGAAACAGCAGGGCCCTGAGGGACGGACCGGGCCTCGGGCAACGGCCCCCACTGCCTAACGTCACTTTCTGACCCTACAAGAAAATCTAGCTGTCTTCCAGCCGCCGAGGCTCACAAACGGCGCATCCGAAACAGCGAAACAGCAGGGCCCTGGGACGGACCGGGCCTCGGGCAACGGGGCCAAACAGCAGGGCCTGCTGGTCCCAACCGCGTGTCCCAAGGCCAGGCGCCACTGCCTAACGTTGCTTTCCGAAGCCCTTAGAAAAGTAGCTCTGGAAGCTGCCGGCTGCCACCTTTGCCGGGCGCATGCGAAACAGCGAAACAGCAGGGCCTGCTGGTCCCAACCGCGTGTCCCAAGGCCAGGCGCCACTGCCTAACGTTGCTTTCTGAAGCCCTTAGAAAAGTAGCTCTGGAAGCTGCCGGCTGCCACCTTTGCCGGGCCCATGCGAAACAGCGAAACAGCAGGGCCTGCTGGTCCCAACCGCGTGTCCCAAGGCCAGGCGCCAGTGCCTAACGTTGCTTTCTGAAGCCCTTAGAAAAAGTAGCTCTGGAAGCTGCCGGCTGCCACCTTTGCCGGGCGCATGCGCAACAGCGAAACAGCAGGGCCCTGTGGGACGGACCGGGCCTCCGGGCAACGGCCCCCACTGCCTAACGTCACTTTCTGACCCTACAAGAAAATCTAGCTGTCTTCCAGCCGCCGCAGCTCACAAACGGCGCATCCGAAACAGCGAAACAGCAGGGCCCTGAGGGACGGACCGGGCCTCCGGGCAACGGCCCCCACTGCCTAACGTCACTTTCTGACCCTATAACAAAATCTAGCTGTCTTCCAGCCGCCGAGGCTCACAAACGGCGCATCCGAAACAGCGAAACAGCAGGGCCCTGAGGGACGGACCGGGCCTCGGGCAACGGCCCCCACTGCCTAACGTCACTTTCTGACCCTACAAGAAAATCTAGCTGTCTTCCAGCCGCCGAGGCTCACAAACGGCGCATCCGAAACAACGAAACAGCAGGGCCCTGAGGGACGGACCGGGCCTCGGGCAACGGCCCCCACTGCCTAACGTCACTTTCTGACCCTACAAGAAAATCTATAGCTGTCTTCCAGCCGCCGCAGCTCACAAACGGCGCGTCCGAAACAGCGAAACAGCAGGGCCTGAGGGACGGACCGGGCCTGCGGGCAACGGCCCCCACTGCCTAACGTCACTTTCTGAACCTACAAGAAAATCTAGCTGTCTTCGGGATGTTGGATTCTTGAATTTCCCACAGGGATGAAGATGTCATTCCCATAGGATCCATGTATGGTATATATACTAACATTGGAGGTATATTGATGGTAAATGTTACCATATATAGCATACATGGATATATGGGTATAGAAACTATTGTTATAAAAGGTCTTATCCTTTGAAAATCTGTGGGACAACTATGTTACAAAAGGTTTTATCTCTTGAAAATCTGTGAGCTGCTTTGAGGCCTATGGATCCATGTGTTTTTTTGTCCGATATTCTTTCACAGCTGGGATTGGAACCCGTAAATAAAATTAAATAAAGGCAGCTCTGGGAGATTCGTGTCTGGGGCTGTCTATTCGATTGGCCACGGCCCAATCCTCCAGTCTGTTGGACTCGGGTTTAGATGGTTTAGGACTCAAAATGACCAATAATTGGGTTGCCGTTACCCTCTGGTAATGACTAACAGTTTGCTATCGAAAATGGCCATTGAAATAGTGAGTTTTCCCATTGAACATGGTGATTGTCCATAGTTTTTTGTATGTTTACCAGAGGGTACTTCATTTTATATATTCTACTGCCTGCATTCCGAATGTTGGTTTGTATTGAACAACCTCCACGAAGTTGTGTTGTTCAAGCCTCTGTTCTTCGTTTCAAGAATTGATGTTTGCTGGTCCAAAAACCAATGTATTCCTGGAATCTACACTCATGCACCATTGTTGTGATGTGTTCTTTGATTCTGAATCTTATATAATCGTATAATATATTATAATATATATCATAATTGTATATATATATAATTATATATTTGATTGGTGTATGCATGTATCTATGTTACATTCCTTCGTCGGTGTATCAGTTATGTGCTCATATGATATATGTACGTGTTTTATCCAAATTGTTGATGTTATGCCGCATTTTCTTGCTTTGAGTGCATCCCTTTGGAAAAACCTGAGATGTGATGTCAAAATCATCAAAACATTCAAAACCAAAAAATCGGCATTTCGTTTGTATGCCACTCAAACCCAAACATTGAAGTAGCTGCTAGTAGCTGTTGTTTCTCGTTTGGCAATCGTTTGGGCAAATCTTGGTATCCGCTGACAACCCCTTAAAGCCCAGGCGAAGGTGGTCAAGCGCCGCGGCCCGAAACGACGGCCAGCAGCTCCGGTGACACCGGCACCCTCTGAGGCGCCAGGAAACGACTCAGAGAAACGGGTGCCGTTTTCGAATGAGTGTGGGTCAATCTTGTTGTGAATTGTATATGAAAATTATCATTGATTTATATCATATTATATATTATTATTATTATTAATTATTATTATTAGTAGTATAGTATTATTATTATTATTGATATATTTTAAATATGAGTATATACAATTATTTAAAAACACATTTAAGTTAGTAATTATACTTCTTGTACATATAGGATCCATGGTGTTGGTATATATGCTAACATGACTGGGGTATATTGATGGGGTAAATGTTGACCCATAGCAAAATGGCCGTTCTGAGCACAACATGTTGCAATCACTGGTTGGTGGTTTGGAACATGTTGAATATTTTTCCCATAATACTTGGAATTTCATAAGCCCAATTGACGAACTCATATTTTTCAGAAGGGGTTGAAACCACCAACCAGATAGGGTTATAGGTATAATCACCAACCAGATGGTTATTGCACCACCAACCAGATCATGTTTGGGATGAGACAAACCTTGCCTTAGTTGACCAAGAGTTTTGCGCATGTTTAGCCTTCAATGCAATAGCCTGGATTGGGAGGATGCTCTTTCAGCACCCCAAACCATGGGGTTTGGCCGGAAAGCTGATGATCCTTTTGTGAGGAGACAATTTGTGTAAAACTGTTTAGTTTGGTTATTAATTTAATTATCATATATCAGAATGATGATTGATAGCGTTTGACTAGCTTGTTTCCAAAACAATATCATTATATTGTGATATATTGTGTATTATGTTTTGGGAAAGCTCCATAATGCTGAAAGCAGAAAAACGCAGATACATCTATGCAATGTATACCAATGTAATCCAATGTATATTATATATATAGTTGCATGTAATTAATACGATCTTATATATCTAAGATACATGTACCCCATATGCTCCATGGTGCTGGAATATTTACCAACATTTGCCCTAAAAATCAACCAGTTTTGTAGGTAAATATACCATACATGGAGCATATGGGTACAGTACATGGGAGGCTGCCTGACTCGGAGGCACCTGCCGTTCCGTCGCCGGCCGCTGTTCCTTCAGCGACGACAGCGGTGGCGCTGCGGAAGAAACGCAAAGGCCGAGGTCAGATGGCAGCGTTTTTCCAGGGACTTCCGCGATTTCCCCAGACTGTTTATGGTGGAAATTTGGGGAATATCGGGGAATTCAATGGAATTCATGATTCAAACAGCCATAAAATTGGGATGTTTAGCAAAGAATGGGATTTAACAGTCGGAAATGGCTACTACAGTATACGTAAACCTAGCCTTTTTTGGGGGATACGACGGTGATGTAATGGGTTACAACAAGCAACAGTCAGTATGATCAATGGGGATCGTTCAGAAAAAGGGTGATTGTCTAGCAAAAACTTGGATTTAACTATCCAAGCCACAAATTCACAACAAATGATGGTTAGAGAAGTGGATAGAGGTTGGTCTAGGAATAAGATATTTACTTCAATTTTTAGTTATTAAAATTATTAAATAATAGATTAGATGTCAAATTTGGGGATAGCCAATTTGTGAGGAACCCACTGAGCGTGGATGTCCCGCGATGTCATTTTCACATTGGTCGGTTGGTGCAACGGTGCGAAAAGAAGGGCGCCCTCCCAATTTGAATTGAAATAAGACGTGTAGATAATGGTAAATGTTATACGTAACCAACTTGTTTGTTTTCAAAGTTCTGAATGGGCTATATAGACATATCGTTTTTTTTGGATATATAGTTTTAAACATTGCTTATCCAATCAAGACACAGAACGCAATGGGATTAAAACCAAATATCCAGGTGCAAGCCGATCGAGAATCGGTTCAAGGTAGAATCTGCACTGAACAGGCCACCTATATCTCAGGTATTGGATAGATAAGAACGACGGAGCAAACCCATGGAAAACACAACAAAAAATGCGGAAAAAACACTATGGAAATAGCAGCAACAATGTTCCATAACAAGCGCGTTCAAGTTCGACGATGCAAAAATCCGCGCCAAGGGGAAAGTCTAGACAGAGACGACAGAGACAGAAGAAAAAGGTACAAAACAACTACGAACAAGCAAGATCCACAAGACATGCCGGCAGACCAGCGGATTAAAATGTTGATTTTCCGGAGGGTATTTGATGTTAGCACTAAAATGACAACCACGCGTTGATGTTTGCTGTCGACTCAGCTTGTGAGTCGAAGCTGCTTGGCTAATGCAAGCCAGGACCAAACCTGTGGATCCAACTTGGTTTTTTTAAACACTGACTGACTCTTTAGTTGATACATGAATTTGTTTGCAAACTTGCGAATTTGATAGAGAAAATACGGGAACACCCTGGGAAAGCGATGATTAACCAGTGGATCCGAAGGTACCCTGTTTTCAGACAGACATTCAAAGACCAACTGATTCCTCCGAGCAACCAATGGGCCATGATGGCCATGATTGGCGGTGTTCTCACTTAATCTCCCTTAAATGGCTGAGTTTGAACAGTACATCTTGCAATTTTACAAATAAATGTGCAATAACATATATAATTATATATATAGATATATACACGTTTTGTTTGAGTTTTGCCTCGTTTTGGACCCAACTCAAGGAATTCTCCACAGGGTCTGCTGCAGGCAGTCCTCCATCCCAATCCTCCGTGCCAACTGGCGCACCGGCCCCAGTGCCGCCGGCAACTGCAGCTGCACCAGCGGCTGCACTGGCTGCGGAGGAGTTGGCCGCAGCCCGAGCGTTGGTGGCGGAATTGACGATTCGAGGGCGAGAAGCCTGTGAGGCGGGACACTGGTACTTACCCCTCTGGTAAACTAACATAACTATGGGAAATGTTCGTTTTTAATGTTAGTTTACCAGAGGGTAGTTGGTAGGGACTGCGGTGATGGGATGATTGTAAACATAGTGACGGATTATGGATCATTCCCCCAATTCCGTACTTTTTTAGCACCACTAAGTCGCCATGGTTCAGCTAGTGGCAGGGTGGTAGATTTGAAGATTTCACTCCAGCCACATACTGTACCCAAGCAATTTTTGAAGCAGAACCGCAGTTGTATGGGTGATGCTGGAACGGGGCTGACGGCGATTCTGATATTTTGGTGTGTAGAAAGGTGGAAGAGATATGAAGAGATTAGAGCTACAACATCCTGACAATGGTGTGAGTACTGAAGGGATGTTGCTGTGATGTGGAAAGAAACTGTTTAAATCATGAAGGGCAGATGTATTTACCGTTTGTCAATGGCAATCAGACAGTTGTAAACTTAGTCTTGGGGGATTACATGTTTGCCTTGTGCCCTTGATGTTTCAGACTGCTGGGTACGTTCTAAATCTTCTAAGCATGTCATGCAACATTGTCAAAAAAAAACACTAGAACAACCAAATCAAATCAATTTAAGCACCATGGAAAGGGATTGTTGAACCGGGCTGGTATAGTAAATACAGTAGACCATAGTAAACCTAGAAAATCAGAAAATCTTTCACCTGCAGCCTTTTCTCGTGCCATCTCCTGCTTCAATCAAAGCTGAACATGATTTTGATGAGTTTTGGGGGTATCCGATTTTTGAGAAACACGGAGCTTCACGGGAAGCCCAAGAGCATTTTTTTTGAGGGGGATAAAACTGGAAATCATTGGTGTACCTTTTCAACTGACCCATTTTGGATAAGTTTTTGGACAATGTCCTCCATTTTCAGAAACCCCAAAATTGGAGCGGTTAGCAATTGATGATATAAACGTATGAACCATTTCTGGGGATATTCCATGTAGAACGTAGAAAAGAACCTCGGTGAGTGGGATGAGTAGGAAGGCCCATGATCCATTTGCCATTTGTGGTGGTCTGATCCTCGTCAAAACCTGGACCAATTGCCCGGATTCCCATCGGATCATTGGGGGACAATTGCCATTGTTTCTTCACCATGGCACATTGAAAGAGCCCAGAACTTCAGTGATTGGGTTTACAACACTTTTGTTATGATCCATGTTCAGCTACTAAACCTTACTAAACCTTAACAATAGCTAATCACACTGAATGGGCCCTTAGAATCGTGATTGTTGGTGGTTAAGATTTGTCATTGATAAGCCCCAAACAAATTTGGGTCTCCTTTGAGGAAGTTGGTTGAATCCCCATGATAGTATTCATATCCTTGATTAACATTGGTTAGCCATATTTTAGAGCTGACGCTCATCGTCGGCTCCGCCGGATTACTTGACCCTCGATGTCATCGAAGGGTTTTTCCTAAAGAATTGCTGCCAACTTCACCTTTCCACTTCGTGTAAAAGCGCCTCTGTGTAAAGACTTCTCTGTGTAAAAGCTTCTGTGTGTAAAAGCTCCTTTGTGTAAACGCGTTTGTGTGCAAAATCGCTATAAACCTCCATTTAGTTCAGGGATTTTACCATGATTTTCCCATGATTTTCCCATGATTTTCCCATGATTTTCCATCTGTTTCCTATATTTTCCACAGTTTTCCCAATGTTTTCCCTGGGATTTTGATGGGCAACTCCCTTGGTGCCCCAGGCGAAGCTTCGCTCCCTTGCGGATGCCGACACCGACGCCACAGCGCAGGGTCCGGCGCTGGCGCATTGCGCCGAGCGTGGCCTGGAGGTTGGGCTGACTGATATGGGTGAACTGTGGATATATTGTGATATTGTTATAATTATATTACAATATCTATAGCTCATCTAGTTAGTTCTTAGTTCACATAGCTAGTGATTTGATATTATCGTAATAATGATAGTTAGTGATCAGGTATGATATGATATTATGATAGATTACCTACAGTCAGTGATATCTATATTTAGTGATATGATATGATATGATATGATATCATATTGTCATAGTAATGATAGATCTAATGAATGATATAACTATTAATATCTATAATTATAGAAATGCATTTTCACATATATATACAACATAATGGGCTAGATATTATCTATAGTTTGTGAATAATGAAATTAGTTACTATATATATATACACCATAGTTCACCATTGTATATATATACATAGATATAATCTATTAACATCTATTACCAATCTAGTGATCTACATATGTTCTACGACCTATACTCAGTACTAGTTAGTTGGGCTTACAAACCAACATTCTAAGTCGGAGGCAATACCTTAGTGATTTATTGGTTGTTTGAGAGAAAAGTGCCATGGTGAAGAATTGGATTGGATTAACTCAATCCTTGGTGGATGGGAATGATCAATCCATTTTCAGTTCTGGATTCCGATTTACCCATTGTGTTTGGAGTCTGATTTTTGGATGATTGACCATGCAACGTATACTGTACGTTGTTTTGTCCCTAGCACATATATAAGATGATAATAATAAGTTATATGACTGGGTTATAGCCATGATTAGCCTAGTGCTCCAAATACCATCTGAGAAAGTGGTTGGACCCCTAAAACCAAACCCAAATACAGTCGTAGAAGGTGTTTGGAGCAGCTAGGGCAGGGCAGTAGGGTTGGTAATATTGGGAAATAGTTGTTTTCTCTTCCACCAACGACTGGGTTTAAGCCTGATTGAGTGTGGCTGAACATGCCAAGTACCCTCAAATTTGACAGCTTAAAACCGCATTTCCCCTATCAAGCTAGCCAGAACTGGGGGTATACCAAGTATATCCAAGTATATATTCGAACACACCCATATAGAACTGAGGATATTCCAGTACTGTAACTAGAGAGATTCCATGAATCTATTAGCACCACTTATATATATAATGGAATATCTCACATTTGCAGCACGTGGAACAGTGGACTGTCGCTTGAGCCGGGAATATTCCAGTCAAATCCCTTTAAGTTCTATGACATACGGGTATGTATTACAGCAACCCAACAGCAGGTTCCAGGGTTTCAGCATTGCAGGGTTCCAGAGTTCCGGTTCTGTTCGATTGAAACACAACAATCACTGCTGCTGGTAAGTCACTGCCGCTGGTAAATGGAGATTTTATACACGCAATAAACACGGGTGACAATAAATTTGACGAACAACACGATATAGACAACTAGAATCTGAGTATTGGGGATGTCACCAATAAACATTGAGACAATGGTGTGATGCTATACCAGAGATTCCTTTTCCAAATGGTTGGTTGAGGAAAACAAAGAGGTTCCCTGCTCAGTCGGGTACTTGGGTACTTGGGTGATTCTATCACTTTTGCAGTTTCTGACTGAGATGGACTAGGGAGCCAGTCGTGGGTATAATTACAGGTCAATTAAAACAAGGATAGGGAACTGCTATATAATGTTCCCTCTGGTAAACTAACATAGCTATTGAAAATGGTCATTTTTAATGGGAACCCATTAAAAATGGTGATTGTCCATAGTTTTTTGTATGTTTACCAGAGGGTACATGAGGTTGTGTAAATGACCCCTTCAACACTACAGCCCTGTAGAAGCCGATTAGAACTTGAATTGCATACCGGCAGGTCTGTGTTCAGCTCCTGTTGCAAATGTCGCTCAGCTGGTCAAGACATGTTTCTTGTTTGGGGGAAGGACATGCCGCACATGCCATAGCTTAGACAAATGATAATAATGATACCCTCTGGTAATTTAACATAGCTATTGGAAATGGCCATTTATAGTTGATTTACCCATTAAAAATGGTGATTTTCCATAGCTATGTTAGTTTACCAGAGGGTAATGACATTTCAAACACTATCTGTTTTGGATTCATTCTAGAGTCATTACACTTTTTCTTCTCCCTTTTAACCGATACATGTTCATCCCCTGTGATGAGTCAATGCTGGTCTCCTGTCAGAAAAAAAGGTTTCTTCTCTGTGAATCTGACTTTCGTACGTTCAAGTTTGAGTTTAACAGTTGTTTAATGTTGTTTAAAAGACTCCTTGCAGATGTCCACTTGCACCCACACAACTGCATCTAGCTGGTGGTTTTGAGCACTTGCCATTTCTATTCTGACAAAGGTGGTTTCCATAGCTGTTGGCAACACAAATGGGGATGGGTCAAAACCAATATTTGGAGAAAAACAACGATATCCATCGATATCCTAATATTTACCAGCTATTTGACCCCTATTTACCAGCTATTTTACCCTAGGTAAATATGGGATATCCCAATATGTGGTACCCTATTTGAGGCATTTTGAGGGTACCTAGGGTCATTTTGACCCCTAAGGCGGGCGGCCCCCGACTCCTGCGGCCTGCGGAAAGTGGCCAGCAGCCAGGTGGGACAAGCCTATTGACAATGGTTTTGGAGTCCAATGGATAGGACAACCATTTTTTCAGATCATGTTTTTTTTGAGTCCATGGTTGTATGATGTTGTATGACTATGGGCACGAAAGAGATAAGGGAAACACATATGAGAAACACCAAAAGCTAAGGAGAAACCATAGCAATTTGGATGGGAATTTTCACCTCATCAATCCGCTTCTGTTCCTATGAAGTACAGTAGGAAACAAGCCCTGAAACATGATGAGTTCAACATGGAAAACAATGTACAAACCATTTATGTATGGGGCAATCATGGAGACCCTCATGTGTTCCATGATCAAAACTTTGGGTAAATTGCCCACATTGATGGATAGTCATCAACCATCATCAACCCCATTAGTGGGGATATATAAGGGATTCATAGATTCATGTGTTTTCCAGCATGTCCGATGATGGTGAATGATCATATAACCCATATACAATATACAGTATATCCATATATTTCCAATATACAGTCCATACACATTCCATATGGGAGTGTGTAAAAACCCCACGCCTATTCGTTTAGTCTTCCATGATCCCCCATGAGCATCCATGAGCCATTTTGAGCTTTCACGCGAAAAAACGATAAGAGAAAAAAACGATAACGTTGAACGTTGGTTCTGTTAATGATCTGTGTCCAGACTCTTGAAATCAAATGCGTTTTATTTTTCCGTCGTTCTGCAGCTATTTAGTGTTGTTGGTTTCTTCATTTCATTTGTTTGTTGTCGTAATGGCGCGCCAACGAATGCGTGTCAGATTCTGCACAAGGAAGGTGCCTGGTAGGTGGTTGCTACACTCCTTTGTTGATGATTGCAGCCATTTCCAGAAAAACGGAGCGTACACAGGATTCACGAACGATAACAAAACGATAACGAAAACGATAACTTTTGGGATCAAAAATGGTCCGTGTGAGACACGGCCCTTTTTTTCCTTTTCCTCTCCCTTGCCTCTCCTTTTTCTTTTCCCTTCCTTTTCCTTCTCCTTCTCCTTTTTCCTTTCCTTTTTCTTTCCTTTTTCCTTTCCTATACCTTTCCTTTTCTGTTCCTTTCGTTTTCCTTTCCTTGTCCGTTTTCTTTCCTTTTCCTTTCCCTTTCCTTTTCCTCTCCCTTTCCTATTCTTTCTTTTCCCTTCCTTTACTCTTCCTTTTCCTTTTCCCTTTCCTCGCTCATGTGAATCCTTTGGTCAAGGTGTGAAGCCAGCGCTTGGAAAAACAAGTGAAAAACGATAAGAGGAAGAACAATATACATTCCATATACATTCCATTTACATGCCATGTACATTCCATATACATTCCATATAAATTCCATATACATTCCTTGTTGCAGGTGGTGTTGGGCAAGCGCACTGCACTGCAGCTGGCGGCCGAGAACGGGCATGTGGCTGTGTCGGGGAAGCTCAGCGAGTTTCGTTGCACGGGGGCTGTTGCGCAACATGTGGGCATCGGCAAGCATCCAACGTTGGTGTGTAAAAGTGTAAATACCAATATACGTATGTACTATGTACATATATATATATTATTCTACTTAGATATTTGTAGATATCTAAGTAGATATTATACAGTAGGGTGAATTTGGAATGAAAATGATTCGTGTTCAATATCCGGTCCGTTGAAACGATAGCACATAAATGGAGCATTGAAAATTGGCCAATAAGACTGAGGATACAACCATTTAAAATTGAAACTGCTGGGTCTTGTTTGCTTTACACCCCGAAGAACGGGATATGTCAAGCCTTGTCCACTTTGAAACATTTCCAGCCTGTAAAATGTGACGATCTCCAAATATCCCCTGGCTGGCTTCCGCCGACAGTTCCTGGTTCTCTCCAAGCTCATGCTTGGTGTCCAGCAATCTACTTAGACAATGATGGAGTCAATTATTTGACTCGATGCCATAGGGTTGCGGGAAAAAATGACAAAATCTCAAAATGTGAAAAACATGTGTGTTGGACAATACCCAAGGTATATTCCCATTATATACCCATTACATTCCCATTGAATCCAATGGCAGCAAATTCCGATAGTTTCCTTCCTTTATGTGCTCGGAACATCAGAGTGCCAGGTTGGTGATCCACATACACATGGTGAACCGACATGACCTTCATACATTTCAAGAGTTTCTTAAACCAAAAGGCATAGTTTTGTACATGTTTTATATTGTTTTATGATGTTTTATGGATCAGGAGAGGTTGCCACATAAGATGAAGTCTCTTGTATGGAGACTGTCGAGCATCCATGAATGTTTTTGTTTTGTTTAATGGGTCGAAAACCACCAGATTGCTGGAATTTACGGTGGAATTTACGGGATATTACTATATTTTTTCCAGATACGTCTTGAATTTGTTGTTTCAATCCCCTTGTTGTGGATTGAATCAACAACGAATCCCTATAGATTTTTTCAATCGGCAACTCCCAGCCTGAGGTGTCGTCTCTTGCTGGAAGCTGGAGGCAATAGTCCGGTGGCCAAGGAAGTGGTGAAACGGTGACGCCAAGGAGAAAAAAACTATGAGTAGGTTGATTTGACGATGGATATCAGATATCAATAGATATCAGATGTTTGATGTTTATGATGCGTTTGATTGTTTTGATTGTTTTGAATCAGATGCATCCCATTTTTTGATCCTCATTGTTCTTTCTTGAATCCTGGTGTTTCATGCTTAGCTCCTTATTCATGTTGCTGAAATCCCCATTTTGGCTTCTGATACTCACATGCGTCTTTACTGAGGCTTCGATCCTCATTACTGTTCCTTGAATCCCCTTTTGTTGATTTTTGTTGAGGTTCTCTAAATGCCAAAACCATATTCATGCAAACATCAGAGTCTGTGGTGAAACCCTCATCCGTTTTTGCGAACATATTCCGATTCTATTCCATGTTGGCGAACATATCTAATTTTTGGTTGGTTGAATCCTCATTTTCTGAATGGTCAAATCTCAATCTGGTTGGTGGTTTGGAACATGGCTGGATTATTGTTCCCATCATATTGGGAATAGTAGCCCCAACTGACGAACTCATATTTTGCAGAGGGGTAGGTCAACCATCAACCAGCAATATTTCCATGATAAAGATCCGCGGTTCATCCAGCTGGATTCCGCCGAGGTGCTTCGCTCTCCTCGGCCTTGAGCAGCCTGCGAAGCTATGGACGGCTCTATGAGAGTCTGGGCCCGAGCAAAAAGGGGCAGGAGATGGGAAATCCAAAGGGGTTCCCTGTTTGGAAGTGATCTCACTTCATGCTGGGGTTTCCATATCCAATGTTAGTTTACGGATACTTATATAATAGTACAGGAATGTATAGGATATTAATATTAATAGGATATTTCATGGGATATGAAATATAACAAGGCTATGATATTTGGCGGTGCATGTTATATCCACCTAAAATCAGGATAGCCAATTACAAGAAAAGGATTTAGCACAAAAATGAAATTTGATCTTGAACGATTGGGAAGAACAAATGTCTATAACCACGGTGAGAATGAATCTTTAAAATAGGTAAAATGCGAGATAACCTTGGTACATTATATAACTATAACTATATAACTATGGCATATTGTGGCGACAAATACAGACTTGTTAAGTGAAACTACAGCCCCAAGTACAGTGGGACAATCGGGGACGTGGCAAAAGATGCCTGAAAATCGGGGTTCAACAGAAAACAGCAGCAAGATATGGATGTCCCCAGCTGAGAAATTGGTTTTTGCTTAAGACAAAGGCATAAACATACCCTCTGGTAAATAAACAGTTGGACCCTGAAAATAGCCAATTTTTAATCGAAACTAGTCTTCCAACCCCGACAACTGCCAGGGTCTATGTTAATTTACCAGAGGGTAGTCAACATTGAGTTTTCACCAACAACTGACAGTTCACCTACACCAAAGATTAGGAAGTCACCAACACACACGGGGATTTCACGGACAGACATGGGGCGTTAACGAGCAGACTGATTCTTAAGCAACTGGAATAAGGAAGAATCGGGAAATCCCCAGCATTCCCCAGCATTCCCCAGCAAAAGTATGATTTTTACTCAAACATGTGGAACATCAAGGACATCAGCAGAAATCAAAAATTGGATGGTTTTACTACATGTGGTTCCAAGTCCTGGAGACCGATTCACTCGAAAACGCAACATTTGGTGTGGAAGTGTTTCAGGTTCCACAGGACCAACATCATCCAATAGGCTTGCAGTCGCCAGAGACAGTGGCAGAACCCAACGTTGGGTACACGTGCCGTTCTTGACATCAGATAATCGATCTACGTTTTTGGGGTATGTTCTATTCAGAGTTGAGAAGATGGCATCTCTTTTTGGCTCTTTTTGGCTCTGTTTGGCTGAGTTTGAACCATCCAGCAGTTCTCAATTGCTAGTCATAGCTCTTGCCACATCACGTTTTCCATGTTTTGCAGGATTTCAATATAACGTGTGCATGTTCCCTGGAACTATTTAATTTCTCTAATTGGTTTCTGTGCTATCGGAATCATGGGAAACTGGATCCACAAAGGGTCCAATTGATGTTTGCGGAAATGGATCGGTGCCACTGGTTGTTAAAACACGTGAAAACATGTTGAAACTGCTCCTTCTCAAAAACTGATAGTTGACAAAAAAAACATACATGCATGTTTACATATGTATATATATATTAATATATATATATATATATTAATATATATATATTAATATATATATATATATTAATATATATATATATATTAATATATATATGATGTGTATATATATACATATTTATATATATTGTTCATAAATATATATATATATATATTAGTACATATATGTATATATAGTATATATATATAATATATATATATCATATATATATATCATATATTTCCAGAAGGATTTGCTGTTTGTTAGTTCCACCAAATTTCATTGCGAGTCTCCGGTTGAGGTGAAGTCAGAGAACTGGAAAAACTGATGCCCGACGCAAAAGCGAAAGCGCCAAAAAGAGGGCTTCGGCAGCTGTGGACGGATACCGTACTAGTATAATATATGTATATATATGCTCAGCCCCCCCCCCCCGACCCCCCCAACACTACAAAAAACCTTTTTGCACACTGGCCGTTCGGTGTCTTCATGCGTTCAAGCTTGCAGGAACCAATCGTTTAACCACTGCAGCTATGAACATATTGGGTCTGAGGATCAAGACTGTGTGTTCCAATTTTGAAATGTTCGGCCATGTCCTAGATAATAACCTTAGTTTCATGCTATACTTTTTTGAAAAACATGTTGCATAAATTGGTGGCACACTTTGCTGAAGTAATACGACCATCTTCTCAAGGATTATTGCATCATCGATGGAATCTGCTGAGGGATGCTACACTGATTTACCAAGAAACTATTCACGTGTAAAACTACATATATATATATACATACATATGTGCATCTTCAAAGGAAGGTTTTCCTTGATTGACACAGATTTTGCACAGTTTGCAGTGCAGTAATATGACTTCTTTTTTTTCGAGCAAATGCTGCACTAGTTTGAAAGAGATATTGTGGTAATTGTGATACTGCACTCTTTGCATAGGCATGTAGCACTTGTTTACATTGCCATAATTATATTTGAATAAGTTTGCTTTAAGATTTAGGATTTATAATTACAATGTGGTTTGCATTGTTTGAAGCCATATTCTACTTTGTTTACAAAGATAAGATATTGCACATTTTGAAGACCTTTTGAAAGTTGAGTCACATAGCACCCTTTTCAAAACAAAACAACATGTCCATAGAACAGTTGTACTCTTTGAAAGGCCATATTGCAGAAGGTGGTGCAATACTTGCTTTACAACAAAAAAAACATATTCTTCAACAGGCTTTTGCATCATCAATGGAATCTACAGTAGGCTCTTGCTACACTTCCTTACAAAAATGTTGCACACTTTGCAAACAAGAATCTGCACTGTCAAAGATAAAACACATGTTTCAATGAATGTATCACTAAGATGGCACTCTTTTCAAAACCATGCTGTAGTAATTCAAGAATAGATTCAATCTTGCAAAACAGCATTCTACATTTTCCTACAGGAATGCTATGATTTCTGAAATCATTCAGTACATACATAGGAGGGTTCTCCTTAAAAATTGGAAGTAATGCTACACATTTTTCAAAGAATGCAACAATGTTTGCAAAAGGTTCTTGCATACATGGAGGAATGGTGTTCTTTATGCAAAGTCATTTTACAAGTGATGTTTGCATGTTTATTGTCCTTCATTATTTATAGAGAACATATTGCATAAATTGGTGCCTGTTTAAAATGCACATGTTTTAAATGCTACTTATCTTTCAAACATTGCCACACTTTTTGCAAAGGGTTGTTACATTGAGAATGGTACTCTTTATGCAAAATCATTTTGCAAGTGCAGTTTGAAAATTTATTTGTCCTTCATTGTTTATAGAGAACACATTGCATAAATTGGTCCCTGTTTAGAATGCACATGTCCAAACGAACTATTGCATATGTTGAGGGAAACTCCTGTAGAGATGTAGAGTCTGTACATTTTTAAAGCAATGCTGCACTCTTTGGAAAGGCATTTGCACTTGTTTGTTTTGTTGTGTGTATTTATTATTCATGCTTGTTTTGGCCGAAACTATATATCTATGTAGGACATTGGGAGAGCTGTTGAGAATGCACAGTGGTTGCTTTTGTTCCAGAAGCAACAATGTTTGGTTTTGGAAAGAACAGGGTGTGGTATCTTTTGCAAAAATGAAATGTCAAAAATTAAAAAAAAATGCGCTCACAACACCCCCCTCCCTTTTTTGTGTGTGATGATCAAAACTTATGAAACAGCGCGCTCCCACAGCCTGCCACTCTCAAAAAAAAGATATTGGCATCTCAAATCATCCATGGGTGGTATGTATATATATATATGCTCAGCCCCCCCAAAACAAAAAGCTAAGAAAACTTAAAAAAAAAAACATAACCATGGGGATTGCAGGATCTCCAATGGGTTCGGTTTCTTTGTTTTATTTTTGTTTTTTTTGTTTTCTCCAAGGGGCCCTCCCCAAAGAGTCTCCAATTTTTTTTGTTGGTTCAATGATGTTTTTAAATTCTCTGCCAGGTTTACTCCCCAAAGAGGATCAGAATATTCTGGGTAAATTATAACGACCTCACTACGACCTCACTGGAAATCATGGTTAGTAAGGGGAATCATCCCCAAATGGCCTTAATTCAGATTAGTGAATTATTATAATTTGCCCAGAATATTGTGGTGTTTTTGTTTGTATGAAGATGTACGTATGAATATGTACAAATAGCCGAAAAAGTGAACATAAAAAATGAACATGTTATATTGTAAATCACAGTACAAACAGCATGTCGGGGGGTCGTGGGTGGGGGGATGACCATATGTATATTATATATATATATTACAGTATTCTTACTATACAAATACCAAATTTAAGAACACATATATATATATATAATTATATATATAATTATATATATAATTATATATATAATTATATATATACATAATTATATATATATGTATACACACACTGTATATGTAGAGTTGATTGCAACAACGGTTTGATATCTACACTCCCCCACTTCCAAGTTGGTTTGAAAACAACTTCTAAGCGCAAACTGCATATACATTATACATTATATATATATATATATCGGATATCCAAGATAAGCACATAACCCCTAGCCTAGTTTTAAACCAACTTGCCTATCCGGTGGCAGGGGGTCCACTTGGCTGCTTTCTTATCCGTCCCACCTAGGAGAGTTCCAGGAGTGGCTCCAAGTTCGCAGCTGAAACACACCAAGAGCTCAACAGATGGCATAGAATCAGTATATAACACACTATAGATATAATATACTTAATATATAACACATATATATAACACATATACATATACATATACAGTGTATGAAAGAAATGCTGAAGAAAAAATCCAGGCATCACTACTGGTGGGTTTTGCGGTGGCAACTGCCTTTTTCGTTGAGGATATTGCCATTTTTCTGGTCATCTCCCAAGGATATTCCTCCAAGGATTGGATTCTGCAAAAAAATCAGTTCGCTGACGCAGCACATTTTTGTCAGGAACATAAACTGACATTCTCCTAACTTGATCTTAACATATTTCATCATATTTCATCATATTTCATGAAAAAGCCATCAGTCAGAAAAATCTCAAGATTTGTCCATCCCAATATCATCAACCCGGCCATTCCAGTTCGGTTTGTCGCCATGGATGGTTTTGCCTTCATGCCACCCTCCCTGGAGACCTCTGTGGAGAACTCGCGCAGCGTGAACTCGCGCGGATATGCGGTGCCAAAGGTTGCACCGGCGCCAGATGTGAACCAGGCGGTGGTCCCACCGAGACACTTGGAAGCGCTGTGGCCGCTGTGGGGTGTGACTGAAAGTTGTTTCTGCAGGGCTCACTGCTTCCAAGTCAATTTTTGAATATCATCCCTCCTGAATATGGGCCCAAAGCTCATTGATGAGGTATGTTGATGTATATAATTATGTTAATGCAGAAAATGATGATAAATCATTGTAGTTTGGAACATGTTAGGATATACACTTGATTTTTGGACACACCTATTAATATATGGACACCCAAAAACGAAGGGAAAGGGTGAAATGGTACATATCAATTATACAGCAAGTTTAGATATATGCTGTATACATGTCTATCGTTTTGGAGGTTACAAAAAAATCTGTTCTGTACGGGATACCCATGCATGGACCCAACAAAATGTTTTTTGTTCGTGAAGATGCGTCCATCCATTTGTTGGGGGTGATACACTTAATTTTAAGGCATTCCCATGTCACATCCAGCGTTCCTAGAAAGAGATGGAAAAATAATGAAAAATCAGCATCAATGTTACTCGTACACTACGTATTATAAATAAAGCATAACCGTACTCTCTATGAGGAAAGAAGCTAGTGTACTGAAACAAGAATCTATAATTGTTTCAAATTGACAATTGAAGATGTAAAGATATTCCAGAACTAACTAGTGGGGAAAGCCAATGTCTTTCCATTTGCCGGAGACAATTTTTGAAGGAAAAGCTTCGGATGGACAAGAGGGCCATTGCTGCTCACGTTGTGACGAAGAACAAGAAGATGCTCATTACGGAGAAGTATGCTACTCTCTTGACCTGGTCTAGGGTCTGTGGTTAGGCGGTGGGCTGTTCGCCTCTTTGTAATTATTTGGGATGCTGTTCGGGTTTTGTGTGATCCCTAAAGTATACACAAAAGTTGAACACTGGGGAAATGGCAAAATCCGATAAACTGGAAAGAACGTGACTTGCGCAATATCAATCTACAATGAAATCCAATCGAATCCATAATTCATGCGAGCCAACTTCCATTTGGATTTTCCCAAGGCTATTCCTTGCTGTCCTATGCAGATGATGCTGAATCAGAGCTGCAGTCCATTTCCGAGAATTTCTCTGCGGCCGATCCGGAGGAAAAAACATCCAGGGATTGTTCGAAACCGTTGCCAGAACCTTGAGATTGGGACAGAAATTTGCTTGCATCCGCACATCTGTTTGGTGCTTTCAAAGTACAATAATACATATATATATATATATAAGTACATTTTTTTCATATATATATATACAATAATATGTATATATATATAACTCTATATATATATAACTATATATATATATGATATATATATATATAGTATATTATATATTATATGATATATGATTAATGATATATGATTAATGATGTATGTATCTATATGTAATTTATTGTCCCTCCTACCCGGGACCCTGGGATGATTTGACGGTGAAGCCACCAGCCATCATCAACCAGTTTAGTTCATGGAAAGTCCCATAAAAAAAATGATGAGTTGTAGCGGCTACCCCCATTTTAGTCTTACCCTCTGGTAATTTAACATAGCTATTGAACATGACCATTTATAGTGGATTTTCCCATTAAAAATGGTGATTTTCCATAGTTATGTTAGTTTACCAGAGGGTAATGTATCTTAATGTCCATAAAATTTCTCATGTTACTTAAGATGGCAACGGGTTGCTGTTCCGGAAGGTTTCTGGAATGTTTCCGCACATGGGAGTGGGCCCTTTTCGAAGTCATGGGGGTAGCCCCAACTCAGTAAAGCCATGGTGACTTGGGCTTCAAGGATCCCCTCAGTCCCCTGGGGGACGTCCAAACGCAGGATCTTCCCTTGCTGAAGCACTCCTTGTCCGAGATGTTGGACCAAATGTCTCACTGTGTTCGGATCAATGATGAGTGACTGGGTTCAACTTTAAGAAAACCCTGCCCCTTTCGCCTCATGGAGCATCTGAAGTATAGGTTTTACAAATGGCTAGGTATCCTGAAATGGCATGTGTTCTAGGAATTTTAGGTTGGTCAATTATGATCACTTACCTAGAAGGGTGCTTGTCGTTTCTCTCAAACATTCACATCAGCTGGGAGAAGATTGCACTGTCATGACTGATAAACTGACAGGTGAATGCTTGCTTCATTCGGTGAGTCGCTGCCATTGTGGAAGTTTATAATACTCTATAGATTCGATCATTCATTTTTTTGAAGATGTTATGCCCCGGAATGCTTCAGACTCCACATGTGTCAAACATTGATTCCAACGTGTTTTCCAAACAATGGAGGACCGGAGGGAGGTACCGAATTGATTGGTGGTGCCTGCCAGCTATGAGTTTGTTCCCCACCTGCCAGGTGAGGGTTGTTAGATTTTATGTCAGTTGCCTCCTCCTCCTCCTCCTCCTTCTCCTCCTTCTCCTCCTCCTCCTCTCCTCCTCCTCCTCGTCCTCCTCGTCTTCCTCGTCCTCCTCGTCATCCTCGTCCTCCTGCTCAACTGCGACCCTCGACGCACAGTGTTCTCTGTCGGACCTCAACCACGACCATCCATGCTCAGTGTTCCCTGCCGGACCTCAACCACGACCATCCACGCCCAGTGTTCCCTGCCGGACCTCAACCATCCCCGCCCAGTGTTCCCTGCCGGACCTCAACCACGACCATCCACGCCCAGTGTTCCCTGCCGGACCTCAACCGCGAGTATCCACGCCAAGTGTTCCCTGCCGGACCTCATGAGATATGCCAGATAGAAAGCCAGAAGATATGCCAGATGGAATGTTAGATAGAATGCCAGAAGATATGCCAGATAAAATACTATGAGATATGCCAGATAGAATGCCAGAAGGTATGCCAGATAAAATGTCAGATAGAATGACACAAGATATGCCAGATAGAATCCCAGAAGATTTGCCAGATAATATGCCAGAAGATATGCCAGATAGAATGCCAGAAGATATGCCAGAACATATGCCAGAAGATATGCCAGATAGAATCCCAGAAGATATACCAGATAATATGCCAGAAGATATGCCAAAAGATATGCCAGATAGAATGCCGGAAGATATGCCAGAAGATATGCCAGAAGATATACCAGAAGATATGCCAGATAGAATGCCAGAAGATATGTCAGAATATATGCCAGAAGATATGCCAGATAGAATGCCAGAAGATATGTCAGATAGAATGCCAGAAGATATGCCAGATAGAATGCCAGAAGATTTGCCAGATAGAATGCCAGAAGATATGTCAGATAGAATGCCAGAAGATTTGCCTGTAAGAAAATGTAAAAATGTCACGGTGGGGATCACACGAAGTAAAGTAATTGGTTTTTAGGCACCATTACCCTCTGGTGAACTAACATAGCAATGGAAAGATCCACCATTTTTAATGGGAAAATCCACTATAAATGGCCATTTTCCATTGCTATGTTAGTTCACCAGAGGGTAACTACTTTGAGAAGTAAAACAATGGAATCTTTATCTTTTGGAAGCCATTTCGTGGACACTTCAAAAGCATTCAAAAGCCTATCTTTCAATCGGAAATTTGAAGGATGCACCATGGGAAAGGCAGATTTTCTCCAACAGTCACCAGCTCCTCACAACCTGCCAGGTTCCTGAAGATGCTTGTCCTCTCCGACTGTGATGCTAAACAGTTGCTGTGAATCACTGATGGAGCCCAGATTGTTGGGGGGGTGAGTAAGAACTCCAAACCCGAAGCCAACTTGGCCAACACGACTTGGGGTGTTGGCGTGCTTTGTTTGGGCTTTTAGCACCCCGCAATAAACAGTTCTTCAAAATGCCCCAAAAAAAACATGTACTGTGCTGAAAGAGTGGATCCCCCGTCATGGCTGGAATAAAATGTGAAGTCCTCGCAGAGGTTCTGGCAAGTGCCCCCTGATCATCAAGTCCAAGAGAGGAACAGCGTCAAAGTCCGCACCGTCTTGCGTCAGTTTGTGCGCGACTGGGCCGACGAAGGGGCCAAGGAGCGTGAAGTGCAGTACGGCTGCCTATTGGATGCGTTGGAACGCCATGTGCCCAAGACAGGCGGGCGTCCAAAGATTGGGGTAGCCATGGGTAGCCTCAAACTTCCTACAACCAATCTACAACCATTGCAGTTCTTGATGATTCTTCCCCCCATGTGAAGAACCTTCCAGGTGGCCAAAACTCGAAAAAACCGCGAGTGTTGACCCCGGGCAGTGGATTGTCGCGCTTACCCTTTGAATGTGCTCGACGTGGCTACGCAGCGCAGGGCAATGAGTTTTCGTATCACATGCTGCAGGGGTGCAAATGGGTGCTTGGCCGTTGCATTTGTTTGCTTTTGTTCTTTTCACTTTCAAGCCACTCGAATCACCGTACAATACAGTACCTATTGAAATGAACCTGGCGATGACAAGTTTGAGCGGTCCAAAAGTGTGCATCGCTTGTTGGACTGATGATCTCGTTTCTGGTGATGTCCCACTTTTGCTCGATCAAATCCCATTTTTGCTGAATCCCCATGTTTCCAGTGTTTGTTCCTGGCACCCCATTATTGATATTATTGTTTGTGCCGTTGATCCACTTTTTGTTCGCAAGAAGGTCGTGACTGAGGTGCTGAATGAGACAGAAGCAGAACGAAGCCACACCATCTTCCCCTTCGTTCCTATATCTGGATATCCAGAGCAGGGCTGGGATGTTGTTAGATGTTGTTACAAATTCTGGGAAGCTGATCATTGAGGTGTACCGTTCTTTTGTTTCTCCTTTTTTTTGTTCGCACACGAGCATCACTCTTTGGGTTTAGACCCCTTCACAACACCAGGGTCAACATGAATCCCGGGTTGACGTGACTTGCCAAAGAAAATGGGTGAAGTTTTACGCAGTAAAAACTGAGGATATTTGATGATATTATATGTATATAATGATATATATATATAGCTATATATTACATATATGATATATTTGGGTATTGACTTTCACTAGGCAAAACATGGACATGACCTGATACGACCTTCGCTTAAATGTGACTTCGGCGTTTTTTTAAACGCCAGTTCAGAGCGCACCGATGTGTGACATTCTGAAGCAATATCTTGCAATAGTAGGCCATCCATGGCCATCGTAAATGGCGAATTTTGATACCCTCTGGTAATTTAACATAGCTATTGAAAATGGCCATTTATAATGGATTTTCCCATTGAAAATGGTGATTTCTATAGTTATGTTAGTTTACCAGAGGGTATGTACCCTTTAAGAGCAGCTTTTCAACTGGAAAGGATCATGAAGATGGCATGGAATCTTTGTTGAAAAAATCCTGCGGTGATGGTTTCATCAGTTTCATTTGCACATCCAGTCAGGTTCCCAAGGGGTCTGAGATTTTGACTGTTGATCTCTGTTTCGCAGAGGAGGAGTCTTGTACAATTATATTATCATATATATTCGAAGTGAAATATTTGGCATATCATAAGCTGTCTTTACCAGTCATAAAGAGCTGGTTGGTGGTTTGAAACATGTTCTATGTTTTCCATATATTGGGAATAATCATCCCAACTGACTAATATTTTTCAGAAGGGGTAGGTCAACCACCAACCAGAGAGGTTTATCTGCCGAAACGGGAACTGAGCCGACTGAAACCGCACAGCGAAGAGAGGCGCCACCGTAGCCCTGGACTTGGACCACGATTTTTTGTGGGGACTTTCCAACCAATAGAGGCCTTAGAAATAGACCTTACCAATGGATACTAAGACAGAGAAATATATAGAAATCCAATCTGGTTGGTGGTTTCAAACATTTGGATTATTTTCCATAATATATGGATATATATGGGATGTCATCCTTCCCATTGACGAACTCATATTTTTCAAGATGGTTATTGCAAAAACCAACCAGTAATAGATAAATATATATAGAAATCTGATAATAGATAAATAGTCCAGATACTCATAGTCCATTAAGGTACTCTTACGTATACTCAAAACGCTCAGAAATTTCTCCCAGGTTTTGAATTTGGAGAATCGCCGCGATGCGCTGGACCATGTGCGACCCGTGGTCATCCCGGACGTGTGTCCCTCGAAGATTCTGTGCCCACCTGGTGTGGAACCGAATCCGGAGGATTTGGCCGGGGTCCGGCTGGGCCGGTCATGGAGGTAGTGAAGTTTTTTTACGAAATCCTTACAACATGGGAAAAGTATGGAGAAAAACATGGGCTTTATCATCTTATAACATCTTATAACATCTTATAAGCCCCTTACTATCCAGCCAACTAGCTCCATGCCCATAAAAATGACACATCTGGGTTTAGAACTCGTTGTAAACATGATGAACAATCACTGAGTCTTCGAAGATGCACGTACAACCCATTAATGATTCAATGGATTTGCTTGCATCCCAGGAGTCCTAAGTGGAGTTCAAACTGTTGATATGCCATTAATTGGTCAATGAATATCACAGTTAGAACTTCATAATGATATGAAATGATATTATATATATAATATTATACATATATTCCGATTGATCAAGCATGGCATACGACTAACAAATGATATGATCAAGATGGAACATGATGTAAGACTAGTATATAATAATATAATATATATGATATATATATATGATATACTTCCATTAATATCCCATTGATCACCTGCAAATGGAACTCCACCCCTAAGTAGGACTTCTCCATGTGCGCGGGCGAATTCGTCAGCGTTTACGAGGAACAGATCGAGGAATGGGATGTGGCATGGTGGCCGTGGTGGCGCAATTTTCCAAAAATGGGCTACAGCCCAATTGGCTCAATTGTTGGCCATGTTTTGTCGGGAAAACATGGGAAAACATGGGAAAACATGGGAAAACTGAGTTTTGAACCATGAAATATCATGAATTATCTTGACATGTTGAATTTGAATTCCCTTGCTTTCGCCAACTCTAGTGTGGCAGGTTCGGGGATGGAACTGGTGGGATTGGGCTTCAAATCTGCGGTGGGTGAATTACCCCTCTAACGTGGGTATTATTGGATACATTTGGATACTGTTCCTAGTAGAAATGGGTGGGAAAATGTCAGGAAAGACATTTGAATCTTGGTGCAACATGGATTGTAGATGTGTTTTGTGATTCTCCCGTACACTCATCTGATCCAAGCTGGGCATCTGAGGCAGTCCTCACGTGTTTTTTCTTGGATACGGCCAAGAATGTGTTCTTGTACATTCGCACCATTGCTGACATCATCAGGCGGGCAGCTATCATGGGTTTCTAAAACATAAAGTGATTGGAAATTGTCTAAGACCTGAAGTTGACTGAATCGTTTCGAACAAATCTGGCTCCAATTTCAGATCAAGAATTTCATGGATTCCCAGAATTCTTCGCACATCAAGTTTTCAGGCAGCTTTTTTTTTTGTCAATCGCAGTGGTTTCCCGTAGTACGCTTCGCTTTTTATCAAATCACTGCAATGAGGGGAATTGGATTGGGTGATTCGTATCCCAAAGCGATCAAAGATGGGTAAATCATGAGGTAATGAGCAGCGTTCATACAAGCGGTGTTGGTTGTGTTTATAGAAGGTTATTAACGACTATATCGAAGATGAAAAAAAAAATCGCTATGGGAAATCTTAGAGATGTTGAAATGTGTTGAACACTGTTCAACTGCAGGTTTCTTCAAATACCCTTTATTCATTGGATTTTTTCTCAGAAAAACAAACCGGAAACAATGCTTATTTTCCTTTAAAATATAGGTGTTTCCGTGTTTCCTGTATGTTTTTTCCTTGAACCAATCCAATGAGCGAGTGATATGGGTTTGTCTGAAATAGGGTATCCCATTTTCTTCACTGCTTAATCATAATTATCCCATCATGATCCCTATTCAATGGCCATATAGATTGGTGGGTAACTCCTCCATCCATCCCATTCCTTTATACTCTTTATATTTGTCAATTGCATACCCCCAATTTTCGGAGGATTAAAATCATACCTGATAGAGCCCTATAAATGACCCTCCACTGGTGTGCCCGAATATGATGGGGGGGGGCTGGAGCCCAAAAAAATGCAAATCAGACTAATCTCGGATATGTTTGACAATATATGTGGGTCAGACCCCGTCATTTTTTGGAGGGAGCATCTTATTTTTTAAAGGGGCTTAACCCATGAAAATAGCCATTTTTGGGGGTTTCCAAGCGAAACACTGAAGTATAAAAAGATTGACAAGGGGAAAAATGCCAGGAGCCAACCTCCATATTTTTTATCGCGGCAGGTTTTGGGATTGTTTTTGGGTTCCTGGTTCTATGCTTGTTTGCTTCTCTGCTTTTCTGCTTCTCTGCTTCTTTGCTTTTCTGCTTTTTTGCTTTTCCTGCTTTTTGCTTTTCCTGCTTCTCTGCTTTTGATGCTTCTCTGCTTTCCCTGCTTCTGTGCTTTTCTGATTTTGTGCTTCTGTGCCTTCTACTTCTACTATTCTACGTTTTTCCTTTCTTCAGTCATGTATTTTGCTGCTCTACTTCCTGCTCCTCTGCTTCTCTGCTTCCTGTCTTTACTACCTCTTTGTTTTTTCTTTTCTTTTCTTTTGCTTTATTCCCTCCTGTTTGTTTCTAAATGAAACCCTAAAGACCCTAGGTGAAACCTAAAGAAACCTTAAAGAAATCCTGATAATAACTCCCCAGACAAGAACCCCCTACATGAAAACCTAAATGAACCCTAAAGAAACTTTGAACGAAACCCTAAATAAACCCTCAATGAAACCCTAAAGAAACCCTAAATGAAACCCTAAATAAGCCCCAAAGAAACCCACATGAACGGTTGGAAATCCTGATAAGAAATCCTGCTAAGAAACACTACATGAAACCCTAAATGAAACCCTAATTGAAAACCTATAGAAGACCTAAAGAAAGCCACATGAACGTTTGGAAATCCTGAAAAGAAATCCTGATAAGAAACCCTACATGAAACCCTAAAGAATCCCTAAATCAAACCCTACATGAAACCCTAAATGAAACCCTAAAGAATCCCTAAATGAAACCCGCAAGAAGCCCTAAAGAAACCCACATTAACGTTAGGAAATCCTGATAAGAAATCCTGATAAGAAACCCTACATGAAACCCTAAATGAAACTCTAAAGAAACCCTCAACCAAAAGCAACCCTAAATGAAACCTTAAATGAAACCCTTAATGAAACCCTAAAGAAGCCCCAAAGAAACCCACATGAGCGTTTGGAAATCCTGATAAGAAACCCTTAAATGAAACCCTACATGAAACTCTAAGTGAAACTCTAAAGAAACCCTCAACCAAAAGCAACCCTAAATGAAGCCTTAAATGAAACCCTAAATGAAACCCTAAAGAAGCCCAGAAGAAACCCACATGAGCGTTTGGAAATCCTGATAAGAAATCCTTAAATGAAACCCTAAATGAAACTCTAAAGAAACCCTAAACCTAAAGAATCCTAAAGAAACCTTAAATGAACGCCTAAATAAAAGCCAAAATGAAACCCAAAGAAACCCTAAATGAAACCCTAAATGAAGCCATAAATGAAGCCATAAATGAAATCCTAATGAAACCCTAATTGAAACCCTAAATGAAACACTAAATGAAGCCATAAATGAAGCCATAAATGAAATCCTAATGAAACCCTAAATGAAACACTAAATGAAACACTAAATGAAGCCATAAATGAAGCCACAAATGAAATCCTAATGAAACCCTAAATGAAACACTAAATGAAACACTAAATGAAAGCCTAAAGAACTCTCAAGAAAGCCACATGAACGGTTGAAGTGCCAAAACGTCGCAAATACCATGCAAAGTGGAAGGCACACATTGCCAAATGTAGCAAATACCATGCACAATGCAAAGTCACCATTGTGACCATGCCAAAATCTCGCAAATACCATGCAAAATGACAGATTCGAGTTCCAAGCTGTTGCAAATACAAGGCAAATGGTACCAGGAAAGAATCCCATCTGCCCAGGCCAGGTGGACTCTGGGCCAACATTGGGCCGTGGCTCGGGCAGAATTCCGCCATCCAAGATGTGAAAATATGGGAAAATTGATGATACATGGAAGTTTTCATGGGAAAATCATCCACAAATGAGTGATTTTCCATGGGATATATGTATATATATATATATATGACCATAGTACATGGATATATATGTATATATATATATATGACCATAGTACATGGGGTTGAATTGGAAGTGCAGTTTCAGTTATAAGTGGATAGATGTCACCATCGTTAAAAAAATGGCGTGCATCCCACAGTGGGGATTGTAAGCTCAACTGCACCCCAGAGTAGTAGGACACTATGGGGAAATGGTGATACCCTCTGGTAATTTAACATAGCTATGGAAAATCACCATTTTTAATGGGAAAACTCACTATAAATGGCCATTTTCAATAGCAAACTGTTAGTCATTACCAGAGGGTAAGCCATCAAAATGCCGGGAGGCCCATTGATTTTTTACCCGGTGGGTTCAACATTGGTCCACCCAATGTACTAAAGATGACAAGATGATACAAGATGTATATGTACCGTTTCGTGGCTTAATACACTAAAGAGATGGTTTGACATGTACTAAATGTTGGTATCCCAATGATGTTTTGCCCAAATATACAGCATATAATAGTGTATATATATATAATATGTATATAATATATGTATATAATATATGTATATAATATATGTATATATACCCCTAAGTTGATCCTCTATAAAATGCCGATGCTTTGACTCTAGAAAATGCTGTTCCGGGACCCATTTTATAGAGGACTGGCTTGGCTGTCTATAAAATGCCCCTCCAGAGCTCCCTATTTTATCATTTTATAGAGAGCTTCCCTCCCAGCATCAAAGATGATAGAGAGGTGCAAGATGTTGCAGATGGATGATGCATTTTATAGGAGGGATTCTTTGCAAAATGTTACCGTCAAAAAATAAGTACCACAAATGGCTTTGTTGGTAGTTTTTTTGGGGAAAACATTCATTTAAATGCATACATTTATATATACATACTTAATAGATAGATAGATAGATGGATCTGCACAAATTTTAACATTTCACTTTGGTACAAAAGCAACTTTTTCTTGTTTACAAACCATAAAAGTGACATTTTTCATTTTGCATCATTTTCCCCACTGATTTTCTCACGTTGTGTCTCCCCTTTCCTGCTCCTCGTTGTGTCTCCACACTTCCAGCTGAAACCTCGGCTCGCTGGCGTTTGTCGAGTCGGGGTTCCGCCAACGCGAGCGCGTTAAACGCGCGCGCGCGCGTTGGTGGAAAGGCGGAAAGACTGGGTTGTTGCACGATGTCGCGCTGCGTGTTTTTGCACACGCGTCGTCTGCGGAGAAGCATTTCATAGAGATGACGGAGAGGTCATTTCATAGAGGGTTCCCACTTGCTGTCTATATGCTGGCTGACGGAGGACCATTTTATAGCCAATTTTCTCTATAAAATGCTTCGTAAAGCATCCTAGGGAACAAGTAAGGGGTATATGTATATACAATTTTTGCCCTTCAAACCAGCAAGAGCTGAGACTGCGATTTCAAGGTATGCTCAGATTTACCCTCTGGGATGGTGGATTTCCCAGCCAGCTTTGAATCCAGGTTGGCTACTTTAGTCAAGCTTCGTTGTTTGCGACAAACTACTTTGATCATCCTTGATCTTTTGCTATGGTAAAATGTGTGGTATTGTTTTTTTTGTTTTTTCCTCACCAGGTCAAAGTCGATAAGTGTTTTTGTGATGTTTCTAAGATTCACCTTGTTTCAGTCATTTCAGAAACAGAGAGGGAGACCCAAAAAAGGGACCGCTTGACCCCGGGACACTCTGAGGTTGTTGTACCACTATGCTGAGCAACCCGGACAGGCGAGCAGTGGGGGCATGCTACAGTTGATGTTGATCATGTTGATCGGTTGGTTGTTTATCCAGAAGAAATGTGGGGTAAGCCTGGGTTGATATGGCTATGGATCAATACCTATAATTACATACCATTTTTAGGGGGATGAACATCCATTTACCAGTTATTTTGATGTTCACCAGGGGTACAAGGTTTTGACACACTGCCATATATTTAATCAAACAGTGCTTAATATCTTGGTTGACCAACAGTGGTTGATTTGTTGATAGATGGTGAATGGGTAAGATGTTTGCCATCCGTGGGGCTATGTCTTGTACCCAGCCAATCTAACCTTGGCAAAGTAGCGAGATTTTCACCACAGATGGAGGCTTCAGCAACAAATAGGGTGTAAGGTAGAAATGGGAAGTTAAGCCAGTTAAGCAAAGCAAATGGATGATTTAGCAACTACTGAAAGGGGGTGTCACAAATCGGGATTTACCCTCTGTCCCTAGCTACGAGACATTGCATTGACATGTTTCATCATTGCATTTTGGGGACATAGAATTGATCATTTTTAGTATGACAAGAAACCAACCGCCTTCTAGTAATGAGCATGGATATGGGTTGGTTCAGGTTGTGCGATTGTGGAGCACAATCGTTGAAACCATCATAATACAAAACAAGTCGGTAACAAGTCGGTATAAAGTCCTTGAACGTCGAGCATCATGCTGAAAAAGTCTGAGCAAGGTGACTGCTTAGTGACCGTGTTTTAAACAGTCATAAAGCTGGGAGTTGACAGGATATACCCGACTCGCTGGCCGATTACTAGCTTCAAAGATTCATGTCTGGTGGGATATCAAATGCTCATCCATGAAACCGCTTTAACCCCTATAAAAGACGATCACATCAGCAGGTGTCTCCAATAATATGCGGAGGTTGTTTCCAGATTGTATCATCTTATATCATCTTATATTTTGATCATATATAGTTTGATATTTATATACACCATTATTTCAGTATGGTTTTACAAAGACAGTCTGAAATGTTCATACATATATATATATATATATTTCCAGTGTATGCAGTTATATATATATAGTTATGTGTATATATAGTTATATATATATACTTGTATATATAGTTATATATATATAGTTATATATATATATAGTTACATATATAGTTATATATATATAGGTATATATATAGTTATATATATAGTTATATATATAGGTATATATATAGTTATATATATATATATGCATATAGTGATACATATATCTATATTACTGAATACATACACGTCACACTACTTTCTGTTTTTAAGGGTTGCGACCCCCCGTCTTTGAACGCCCAGCCTTTTGGCAACGTCAGATCTCCATTGAACTCAGCTGGGAAGAAGTCAAGCCTGAGATTGCGACACTCGCGAGTTTCAGTTGCCCTGTGGCGGGTTCCAAAAAAAAACTGTTTTGAACGTGGCAAATCACTATTTTTTAATAGGTAAATCAAAATGTGTATGTTTATGTCATGATAAATCATCAAAGTAAATGGGCCATCTATACGATAGCTATCTTAAATAATCAGAGGGTATGTATGAATTTCATTTAGTAATATCATCCTGGAGTAGATAGTTTTTCATGGAGTTTTAATGATATTCCGCAAGTTTCATATTCTATCTACTCGAGGATGACTACATTGTGACTACATATGGAAACAAGGCGTATATCAACATTCTGTTTAAACTTTAAACCGTCAATGCTTTTTTAAATATGAATATCGTATAGACTATATGTAGATCAAATGGCCGTATGAGAAATCTACCATGTTGTTCTGATAATTATGTTTGCCTGCAACAGGTCTTGCTGGGTATGGCCCTGGCTCAAATTTCTTGGTTACCAAGGGAATCTCATTTGGTGATTCCCCACCTAATAGGTTTTAACACAGGTGCCAAAAATGAAAACCGAAATCAGAATATATATGCCATAAAGAATGTCAGATCGAATGTCAGTATATATATATATATATGCCATTTATATACATATATATATATATGCCATTTATATATATATACTTCCAGGTGATGTGTCGGAAACTATGTCAGAATAGTGTGTCAGGGTCGGGATCACTCGATTTTTATTCGACCGAAACGAAGCATCAGTCTCAGTCATGACTGTCATTGGGATTCAACCCCAGGTCGGTGACCCCCCCAATCATCTGGTTGGTGGTTTCAAACATTTGGATTACCCTTTGGTAAACTAACATAGACCCTGCCAGATAGGGGTTGGAAGACTAGTTTCCACTATAAATTGGTCATGTTCAGGGTCTATGTTAATTTACCAGAGGGTATTGTCCATTTCATATATGGGATGTCATCCTTCCCATTGACGAACTCATATTTTTCAAGATGGTTATTGCACCACCAACCAGTCATGTGTGGGCTCAGGGTTTATTAACCATCTATGATTGGGGTCGGGGTTCGCAACGAATTGCCATGCTGAAAAATTCCCGGCGAGGGATGGACGACCAAGGGGAGAGTCATGGGGAGAGCTACAGAGTTAATTACTCGTATCACACCTGGGCAGATGCCAACATTGTACATGTTTTGTGAAAATATTTGCACAATGTGTTTCACTTCTATCCAAAATGTTGCTGGTTTGCTGGTTTCTGTGTCCATCATTTAGTCATGATTCATGTCCCGATTCATGTTACTCCACTCATGGTTTTTTCTGGGAGGCTACCCCTAGATCCATCTAAATTCACCATCCCTTTCCGAAATCCATCATGTTCCAGCCACTTGGGGGGGCACCCAATTTCACCCCCAGCGCCTCCCAGGAAATATTTTGATTTCAAAGAGGAGGACCAACCCGTGGACCTCTGAATGCTGGGAAAACTCGAGAAAACGCCGTGGTTTGTCAATGTTTGTCATGCGTTTCCTCTTTAAGATAGACACCTTAAGATTTAAGGGGGATGCTGGGTATGCCCTGTTTGTAGATAAAGCAGGACAAACCCATGCGCAAGGATCACAAAAATGTGGACGGACAGAGCATGTGTCTCGTGTTTGAAGGTAGAAAAGACATGTTTCCGGTGTTTGGTAATTGAGGGAAATCAACGGTTATAGGATTTGTTTCCTGTCTTTGAAGGCACCCGCACGACACATCATCATCAAATATCTTACTGGCAGAGGGTGAAAAACCCCAAGATGGATGAAACTGTTCAACAAACATCAACAAACCCATCATTCATATCAAACACCCCTGGGACCACAGTGGACGTGTTCAAGTTTTTCAGGGATCAAATTACTCAAGAAACGTGGCGATCAAATGAAAACCACTAGCACCAGACTAGTTGAAAACTAGGACGCACGCAGTACAGGTTGTGCGCGAAGCAAGCATGGCGCTACCGGGAGTTCTGGATGTTAAAACTTCCACGGTTTCAGGATGTTTAAGGCAACATCAAAAGGAAAGCCCTGGATTTGGGGTGAAACTCCATGGTTTCACAGATATTTTTTGCCAGAACCGATCCACGGAATCACAAACTGCCAGGATTTTCGAGAAGCCTTGTACACCACCAATCCCAAAGGCATGTATCGCACTCGCTCCTTAGCTGCGAAGGTGGGATATGATAGATTGGGATACATCTGTATTTGTATATATTTGTATAATCTAGATATTATATATATAATACACCTGGAGTCTCCCTGCACCTTTTTTTTATTTGCTTTTTCTTTTTAGCCCTCATATGTTTGCCTTCGTGTAATAAAAAAAGGCGCAGACACTTGGAAAAGGCACAGGGAGATTCCAGCTGCGCTATAGTTTTCTCCTGGCTGTTGACCCTGCTCAATAGATGTAATCATGTCACTTGATGCAAATTTATTTTTGGCACATGTGCGTTGAAAAGAAGAGTCCAGGGAGCTATAGCAGCTATCACCACCTTTCGAGTCCATCTGAAATGGTTAGGGGGCCCCACTCTTCTAAGGACCCTCAACATCCGAAAATAGCTGAAAAGGTTTGAAAAAGGATGGGCTTCATGAGGGGCGCAGCATCAGAAAGTGCCTGGACGCGTTTGGACGCGACAAAGACCTTTTTTGGACGCGTGGACGCTTCCCTTCAATGCCCGTGTTTCAGAAAAAGTGCAGCGGCTGCATTTTGAAAGATTTGACAGGCTGTTGGCACAAGATTTCAAAAGATTTCAGGTTTCAATCGACGCACCCCGTGCAAAATCAAGTTGAAACTTTTGGATCTCCTGGAATTGATACCCTCTGGTAAACTAACATAACTATGGAAAATCACCATTTTTAATGGGTAAATCCACTATAAATGGTCATTTCTAATAGCAAACTGTTGGTTTACCAGAGGCTAAATTCTCTCTGGCTCACCAGTCACCGTGGACAGGCCATCCACTTTTGGGTTAACTCCAGATCCTTCAAGGAGATCCTCAGCATTGAAAATCCGAAAAAGGGTCATTGGAGAGTCCTTTTTTTATCCTATCACGCCCATAAAGATAGAAAGCACATTCCTGCTAAAATAGTGGTAAATGCATGTTTTCTATCTTTTTTGGGGGTTGCACATGTATACTTGTTTATTGTATCTCACGCGCAAAGCAATGACCAAAAGTAGTTTGATTGGGACCATTGGGCGATATAGTAATATGATATACCCTCTGGTAATTTAACATAGCTATTGAAAATGGCCATTAATAGTTGATTTTCCCATAAAAAATTGTGATTTTCCATAGCTACGTTAAATTACCAGAGGGTAGCTACCAACCACAAAGATCGTCGATTGTCCCAGTAGATCGCACATTTGACAAATCAAATGTGGGGAATCTCCACAAGTCCCATGGATAAAAAGATCATGTTCCAATTAGAAACAATGGGGACTCTCCCAGTTTGGAACATCCCTATCTATTGGGATATAGAACCTAATAAACCCATTTACTATCCACATTCTATCCACCATCCAAATCGTGCCAATAGATCGCATATGATCGCATCCATGTTTTTACCGGAGCTCGGTTGTCTGGATCTCAGCAGCCCAGGTTATAACTGCATCTACTTCGCGGCCATCAGGAATGATGTCGAAGCTGAGGGAGAATCAAATCCAGTGTTCGAATGAAAAAAGCGCCGAAAAAAGATGCATGCAGCGATGTTCGAGCGTGACAAGTTCAATCCATGTCATCCCATTTCCCGAAGTAAAATAACCATAAACAAGCCATATCCTATAGGATCCATGTATGGTATATATACTAACATAGGGGGTATATTGATGGTAAATGTTACCATATATAGCATACATGGATCCTATGGGTATTTTGCATGCTTGAGCCCCATATTTTGAATGTGTCTTCGACTGAAGCTCTTCAGCAAGGGATGGCCAAGGTGCCCGACCATGTTTCTGCCGAAAAAGTCCTGGAATGGTTGATCTGCTTGGTGCTTTGGAACATGGCTTTTATGGCTTTCCATATATATATATATATATAATATTTTTTTGGGGGAATTTCATCATCCCAACTGACTTTAAGTCCATCATTTTTCAGAGGGGTTGGGTTGAAACCACCAACCAGTGATTCAACCTCAAGTCCTGTTAAGAGTGGAGGATCTGACGGCCAGGTGCCGGTGCTGCGGCAGTGGATGCATCAATCAGCCCAACCTCCAAAGGTGGGGTTCGACATGGAGGATGGATGCTATGGGTCAAACTTGGGTATGATTTTATAGAATGATATTGACTGATTTTTTGTGCGATTTACACAGTTCAGGTACATGTAAGATACACAGGAAATTCATGAAACGTTTCTTTTAAAGGGTGTTCTTGTTTGTTTTTACCTCATGATTCCTGTCCAATCAAAACAGGGTTTCTATGACTTCAATTATCGGGCACATAAAATGTACCCTAATCTTTCGCAACCTGATTTTTTTCAAGCATTTGTAAACACATGTCTTAGTTCCACCTAGCCATACCATCATAAGCCTCAATTAACATATGATTATATAACTCATATTATTTCAGGTGGTCGGAAGACATCAACAAGAATCGGTTTCCGGGAGAACTGGATCTATTCTGATCTATTAGTCAACATACTTGGATTTTAACCCAAAAAAAGCGGATTTGACATGATTTGACCAACAAAAAAGGCGATGTGTACCTTCCGGTAATATCACAGCTATGAAAAAATCGCCAATTGAGTTACTGAGTCTGATCATTTGGCAGTTGTCCATGTCACAAACTGTTAAATTTCCAGAGGGTGGCCCTTCCAACCATAGAACGCTGCATGGCGGGTTGGAATGCCAGCTGCAGGTGATGGAGAAACTTCTCCTCCGCCCGTGCGCGGGACTGGGGCGGGTTGGTCGGGTTGGTGGTCAGGAACGGTGGGTTGCTCGGGAAAAACATATTATATAAATAATATTGTAAAACATATTAAGTCATATTAAAACATATTAAGTCATATTAAAACATATTAAGTCATATTAAAACATATTAAATCATATTAAATCGCATTGACATATAGGGTTTCAGCAATTTGACGCAGCAAACAATTGGATTCAAGATGATTTCAGCAACCAAAACATGGGAGGATAAAGTAAAATTTCAACGATAGGGAAAAGGATGAAACGCGTGACGCACAATTTGATGTAGAAAATGTGGTACATATATTACTGTCACAATCAGATTTGTGGCTTCAGCTTGGCTTTTGACGCCTTCTGGCGTCAAAAGCATGGAAGGACAAGGCTGAGCAAACCTTGGCTTGGAAGGTTTACGGTTGATTTCTGACTTAAGATCTTAAGAACGGAGAAATATGTTGTGTATGTTATTTTTTAGTTATAATCCCCCTGGGGTATGGGACGGCCTCCCTAGCCTGCAGGACATTTCTGGATTTGACGCTGGAGGACTGAACGATTGCTGGTGGGGCGGGGCGATTATGGGTTTTAAAAAAGAGACATAAATGCATAAGTGGAGCGCACAAAGAGTCTTTTTTTTAGTATGATATAAACCAGATTAAAACCTCTTGATCCCTATTAACCCACATTAAACCAGATTAAACCAGATTAAAATCCACGTTAGAGAACAATTACATGTTTAGTCTTTAAACCCCCAATGTTGAGGCGAATGGTTTGCCACCATAGCTGTATGACTGGTTTTTAGCCTTGAATCTGGCCGGTTTCATATGTTTCATGGGGAATCAACCAACTATTTTATAGGGGATATTTCACAAGACATACACTGGAACATGTTTTTCCCCATATATTGGGAAGAATCATCCCAACTGACTACTGTAATATTTTTCAGAGGGATAGGTCAACCACCAACCAGTACAGTACTGGGGATTTACCAACCATGTTCTGGAGGAATTATAACTCACTGATTTCATTGGTTGAAGTCAGGGCAGGCCCAGAGTATGTTTTGGTGCCGCTTCAGCTACGGCATGCATTTCCTAGGTTTCATGGAACAGACAGCACTGAATTTGTAGGACTTGTCCTGCATTCTCAGAAAAGTCGGAAGGCAAAGGGCATATTCTTTTGTTTGTTCTCTGGATTTCTGAGATGATGTTAGACTTTACATATTTTTTTAAACAAATATAATATTTGAAACATTTTGAAACATCAGTTTTTCAACATGTTGACACAAAAACACCCTTCACTTGGCGGTAATGCCATCGGCGAAAAATGACCTCAAGTGACCAATCGTGTGAACTCTGATGCACCTGCCATCAACTTCTTCAGGAAGCTCCGGCAGAGAAGACTGAGACTTCCACAGGTTCGATGTGAAGCGAAAGAACAAGGGGAGATGTGACCGGGGCACTGGGGCAGTAGGTACCTAGGATAAACATTGACATTTGGGGATGGTTATATCATGATATATCATGTTATTTTGATATATATAATTACACTGTGTAAGGATACACTATACATGTGTGTACATAGATACAATTCAATACAATTAATGTATATATATAAGTATACACATATGTACCAATGCAATTAATATACTGTAAGCCTTGGCCTTAAAATCACTCAGGATCGATCAACTGGGATCCAACCTCCATAGCACCATTTGTCCAGCTGTTCGTGTTCAACACCAAAGCATTTGGTATCAAGATAGCTCAACATCAGACATCATTGTGATGTCATAATCGTTTATATTGATAATGAGTATACATATACACATCTATTATTATATTCCACAGTATATTGATACATATGTATATAATACATGTATATATATATTAGTGTATTAACATACATTTTCCTACATATATAGTTCTTATACAATCGTGAATTGTCTTATATTATATTGTATGTTTTTGTTTTTTATTATTATGCCCGTTTCGGGCACTTCTCATTGCGCTTGTTGGTTTGATACTTCAGGGTCCGAATTGCTAATATACATAGTTATCACAATGATAATATACATATGTATACAAATGTAGACAAAAGTAGTTATATAGTATCAACATCTTACAATATGAATGCCAGGTACAGAGAGAAGTTTCTACATCTTTCTACATCTAATAGGGACATCTTATATCAAATAGCTACGTCTACTTTCAATGTTTACTAAGTTTAGATGTAGCGTGTCCGCAGGCGCGCAGGCGCCTGAAGGGCCCGAAGCCACGTTGATCGAGGCTGCAGGTCCTGTGGCCTTGCAGGCGTGAGGGACAGATGAAGAAGCGAAAAGGGAAAATCAAAATTTCTATATGATACACATGTATCATTCATGATAATTCATAAGATTCTAGTGACATTTACAACACATGTTTTTTGTTTTTTTACTGGACTTTGGTTGTCATTATATATATGGTTCTTGATGTGTTTATTTTATGGTGGGAGCAAGAAACATGGCTTTCCCCAGGTTAAGGAATGATGTGATCTAAATGCTCTGGACAAAAAACCAGAATGGGGGATCTATGGGCTGGAGATGTTCCCTGGCATTGTTTGGTTTTACCTACAGCTCCATATATATATATTATATATACATACTATATATATACTATATATATACTATATATGTATATACATATATATATGTGTATATATGTATATATGTATATATGTATATATGTATATATGTATATATGTATATATGTATATATGTATATATATAATAGATACTTTGTATATGTATATATATATATATATCGCAGTTGGATGGGTTGTTCAATCAACCAACTTGTTTTTCCTTTGGTGGGTACTCGTTGTATTTAGGATGATCCAAAAGAACTATGGTACCATCGAGCTTGTTGATATGTTCTTCAAGATCCTTTGATGGAAATATCATATGTGGGGTTGGCACGAGACCTGTAGCACGCCAGAGTTTTGACTTTTTGGACCATCTATACATGGACAATCCGACAATCCCGATTTGTGGTTAAAGACATGTGGAAAAGTGAGGGAAAAATACTCTCTGGTGGTTTAACATAGACCCTGAAAATGACCATGTTTTAGAGGCAACTAATCTTCCAACCCCTATCTGGCAGGGTCTATGTTAATTTACTGGAGGGTAAATCATATTGCACAATTACATAATTCGATACATATACCATACTGCGCAGGATTTTGAGCTTGATAGGCAAAACAATAGGAGTTCTTATTGCTTACCAAATTAGTAACGCTTGGTGGACAAGGCAACTCTCAGTTCCCATGTCAATCTCGCAGAAGCCATCCAGTTCATAGTGCTTTTCGAGGTATTTTCGGTGGTTATTTTCCAGTTGGTGTGGTTATACCATGATCTAGTTCGAGAGATCTAGTGAAAAACATGTTTATCTTTCTTAACTTAGTTATAGCCACTTTAACAAACTTGTTTCTGGGCCCTCACCTTGTACAGCGAACATATTAGTTATGTCAATTTTTGGGCTCAAAAACATGTGGGTTTTTGATCACCTGAAACGGTGGTCAAATCGGAGGTCTATAGATGTAGAATGATGTAGATAGAGAAGTTACAGGGCTTGCCATGGATTTGGAATTTTGGAAGAACAAGAAGCAGTTACTGTAGGGAATTGTCGGTGACATGGCAGTTCCCCTTTGCAGTCATCTTTTTGTTGTCGTGGTTGCTGTTCCGTTCCCGTTGCTGATGACACCAATTTCGAATTTAAAATCTGGAGATGGGATTGAAAGATCTTG